ATTTAAAATTATAATGATTAACCAAAATCATTATTTAAAATTAAGAAAATATTTTGTAGAAAAAATTAAAAACACTACCTCCCTCCCCGAAAAAAATAATCCATGCTTAGAAGTCTTCCTCTTTTTTTAACTCGATTTCCCAATCTAAATGATATAGCATTAAAATAGCAAGAAAGACATTTCTTGAGGAAGAAATGTAAATTTTCCCTGTGGCAAGATCTTATAACTGGTACATTTTCTACTGGAACTTTTCACCAGGAACTTATTATCTACATTCATAAATTAGATTGTGATAACTCAACTTTTAATTTGATACATTTAAAAATTTTAATATATGGACTTTTCTGTTTGAATAATTTAAACACAGTTCAAACTTCACCAAAACAGCTGATATATTATTTCGTTAAACACTTAACTCCTATATTTTATGCACTGTCCCCAAAAGTTAAGTTACTTTTTTCTGTGTCTAATTAGAAAACAAATGAACACTGAGATAAAAATTTTTGAAGAAATGTGCTCCAAACAGTTCTTTTTTATTGCCATTAAGAAATTTACACAAATTTATATATGAACCTGATCAGATATGAAGTAACACTTGTTCCAGCTCATGTAACAACTGTGGAGGAGGACTCAAAGCAGCCAAGGTAATCCCAAACATTCTTCACTCGATTCAGTTCTGGATGACAAATATTTTCATATACAGTACTCAACCTTTTATCCAATAAAAAACCACCAGGAAACCAGAAAAATGTTGCTAGGTTTTCCTGCCATTTTGAACCAGAACGATTGATGGAAAATGCGGAAATTCCTATCATCGTTGAAGTTGAGTAAAGGAAAAGGAGGATCTTTGATTTATGAGGGGGAAATGCATTACACATGCTTATTAAAAAACGGAAGATGGAAGGGTAATAAAAAAATACAATGTTATACTTTACTATGTAAATATAAAAGTAAAAATAGTGAAGGGGAATTACAATTGCAATATGAAAATGGCAAAAATACACATCTCCTTTTTAATCAATTATTATGTAAGAGTATAGTTAGCTTTACAGTATAAAACCTTTTATCTGGTTTCCAGAAAATTGAGAAAAACTTTGCTCAATTTCCTCATTTTTTAAGTAGAAATACTGAGTCATCCAGAAAGCTGAGTCGATGGAAAGGTAGGGTGATTCCTTTTCTTTCTGTTCAATCGAACGAAAAGGAGCGGCAGACTAAGGTAAAATTAAATGAACACAAAACCTTAATTAAAAACCTTCTGTAAGCAAATTATTGACTCTCCTAGATAGTTTCAACCCTTTTCTCGTCACCTAATTCTAATGAAATTTGTATGAAAATCACTGAATGTAATAAAAAATTTAATTTTCATTAACTATAATATTTAAATCATTTTTCTTTAAAAAAAAGCTGAACTCCAGAATAGACATGTTCAAACAAAACCACAATTTAACAAGATGTGCCGAGAATTTATGTTTAAAATCCCGTGATGTCATTTAAAATGTATAATATACGTAGGGGCAGGTTTGCAAACTGAAAGTCGAAAAACAGCTCTCTCTGCTTGGTAGAAAAACCAAGTACTTTACGTAAAATTTTTTAATTCCTGAAAGTCAAATGAAATGACATAATCACAGGGAAAGTGTGACTGAGCAAAGCAGAGAAAGAAATTTTCCTTAAATCAGTAGCTGCCAGATTGATCATGGGGAAGAATGGAAGAATTTCGACAATTTTTAGTTTATTATTTTTTATTCATGCTTTTTTATTGATTTTAATTTATTTTATTTTTGAAAACGAAATTTGTATCTCGTAAATGAAATAGCAGACAAGCTATTGCGTTGAGTTATTCTCCTTGGTCATTCATAAATTGGATAAAGGGTTCTTCATGTCTAGTTTTTACTCCTTATTAACCCTTCAACAACTTAATCAGAAACAAGGAAAGTGAATCACTACCAGCAATATTTCACAATTAAAGGGAGAGACATTCTTAACTAGAACCCAATTTTGTAATGTTCCACTGACAATTTTACGCATAAAATTATGATGTATCTGTCTTTTCTCTGAAGAGACTAGTCTTTTTAACAATCATGGTTCTATTTTATTATCAAATTTCCTTAGTAGTAATCAAGAAAAAACCAATGAGGGAGGGGTTCGATACACACACATATTATTAAATCTATTTCAAATGAAATTAATTTTAATTAATAACTAATTAATTTTTTTAAATTACATTTTAAACACAATTTTTTTCTTTCTTCATAAACTTCAAATTTCCTACATTTAGCTTAGAAAATATTTATACTTTAAGTAATGTTGAGAGAGATTATGAAACAAAAATAACTTTCCCAACATATGACTCTGGAAATAGTTGAAAACGATTGAGAAGCTCTCACAATTACAGTGAAAAAATGTCGAATTTTGCGAAATTGGCAACATAAATTGCTTTTAATCAAAAAATAATCCTTTAACTAAAAAATCTAAAATAGAATTGGACACTAGGCTTTGGCCATACATGATCGTTTTTGTGACCCCTAATCACATTCTTTTCCTGAAAGTAATCAATGAAAAATGACAACACTTGTCAGATGCCTAGTGTAGCAATTTATTGTGAATAAAAATATATCTATCCAGCTCCACTTTAAGTTTTAATGTAATTATTACCTTTACATAAAAAATGGGTGTCTTCATTTGAAAATTTCAAAATTTTGTCGCTGTAACTGTAACCATGAGAACTACACAATCATTTATAACATCATTCTTGAGCGCATAGATCATAATACCTATGTACAAAATTTTTAACGATATGCTCTGCAGACAGTCATATGTTGGCAAAATCATTTTTTAATCACTCTGTATATAATTTACAACTAGATAATGATGAAGTGCTAGTGTTTGAATTGATTTTGAAGAATGTCCAATGGATGTACTGAAAGACACTTATAACAGAATGCAGATAAGGTTATACATTCAAAAATCTTTGTAAATAATAATCATGTCTGTTTAAAAAAAATGTAAAACATTCCTGAGAACGCATAAACAGGGCGGTCATGGAGATAAAAGCACCTTAATTTCAGGACAAAAAATATGATTGTGACAATGAGGTCAGCATTGTGTACAGGTTGCCCTTGTCATCAACTAGCTGCCATTGGAAAAATCCTTGAATTATGGAAAATTAATTTGTTTACTGGGGTTCATGATTTCCAATGGCAGCTTGAAGCCAACTAAGCTTCAGATTGATGGTTCTGATCAATCTGAAGCTTAGTTGGCTTCAAGCTGCCATTGGAAATCATAAACCCCAGTAAACAAATTAATTTTCCATAATTCAAGGAATTTTCAAATCATACAATATGCACCCTTACAAATAGAATGAAAACAATATATGATTAAAAGGCATGTGATTAACTGATGAAGTTCATTGTTATTTCATTTTTCTACGAAGTTAACATAGTCACACTTTTCATTTCGTTTTTCTACGCAGTTAACATAGTCACACTTTTCATAAGCTTTGTTTTGTCAATATATTTCATTTAGTCATAGTTTTTTATTCAATTAAAAACAAATATTTTACAATTTAATCATTTTTTTAAGACAATTATAACTTAATTTCAATTTTTGTTCTCTCTCTTAATTAAAGAAATGAAGATATTTAATTTCTTTTTTAGATTAAACCTTTTAAAATGTTATATGCAAGCAATAAATATTTTATAACAATCAAAATATTTAGATTTCAGATAAATTACTCATGAAATTTCTTTTTAATGATATAATATTTTCTAAGTCAATGAATCAATATTAAGTGTTTTCAATAAAAACAACTTCATCATACGATTTTAAATTTTCATAAATTTTAAGCACAAACAGACTAACATTCCAGACTAACAAGAAATTATCTTAATGAAATTTAAAGATTTCAGATTAAAATTATTGATCATTTGACTTAAAAAAAAATAATTTCACTCATTATATATTTCATTATACAGTTGAACCTGTTTATCTCGAACCTCTTTATCTCGAAAACCTCTAAATCTCATACTTTCTAAGATTCCCTGCATTTATTATCTGAAATCAATGTGTTTTCCATGTTTATTTTGAAATTTTTTTCCTTCGAAACCTCTGTTTCTCGAATTTCTAATAATAGAGCACAGGTGCCAAAGCAACATATTTTTCTTTATCAGCAGAACTGGCTGACAGTGATGAATTTCAGTATATAGGGATGAACAGTTTGGGGGTGTTTCTTGGAATTTCGATCACTATCCCTGCACTTCCTTAACTAGAAAGGAATACAATGACTCTGATTGTAAGTGAGGGGTTGATTGATGAGTAGAATTGAGTGACCACCAGGGGTCAGCTTTCCCCCATAGATAAGAAAGCTGGGAATATAAATTCATTTTCATTCTGTACTGTAGACTGAAAGTTGTGATTGTTCTGTGATGACGAGTTTTTTTTTTTTACGATTTTGAATGGCAGGAGTAAAAAGAAAATTGAATGTTTTGTCCATTGACAAAGAGATGAAAATCCTAAAATTTCTTGATGAAAATCTATTAATGAAAAAGAACGAAGTTGCTGTCAAGTTTGGTATAGCAGCTAATACTCTATCAACAATAATCAAAAATCGAGAAGTAGTGGAGAAAATTTTTTTAAACAAGAAGAATGTGAAAAAAAGTAGAAAATGTACTTTTCCAGATGTGGACAATTGCGTTAAGAAATGGTTTACTCAATGCAGAATCCAAGGAATCCATATCAGTGGAAAGATGATGCAAAGAAAGGCGGAAGATTTTGCTAAAGAACTTGGACATGCTGAACATTTCAAAGGCAGCAATGGATGGCTCAAAAGTTTTAAAAAGTTTAAAAATAGCACAAACTTTGTGGGGAAAGTGCACCTGTGCCGGAAAGTGTGTGTGAAGAGTAGATAGCTCTAGTGAAAGAATATGAACCGAAGAATATTTTCAATGCAGATGAAACAGGACTATTTAATCAATGCTTGCCAGACAAAACTGCCATTTTTAAGGATGAAGAGTGCAGAGGCGGAAAGCAAAGTTCGTTTGACGTTGCTCTTAGCTGCCAATGAAGAGGGATTAGAGAAACTTCCTCCTCTCATGATAGAACATTCGGAAAAACCTAGATGCTTTGCTAAACTTAAATCTTTTCCTTTCAAGTACAGAGCCAAAAGAAAAGCTTGGATGAAAAGTGAAATATTTGGCGATTGGCTTAAATCCCTAGACAAATCTATGCGAATGAAAAAGAGAAAAATTATTGTTTTCATAGACAACTGCACTGCACATAACAATCTGCCTAACTTGAAAAATGTCACTGTAAAATATTTTCCTGCAAACACCACCTCAAAATTGCAACCAATGAATCAAGGGATAATTAGGAGTTTTAAAGTGAACTACAGAAAGCAGTTGGTACGCACATTTGTAGATGCCATCAATGAAAAAAGTTCTCTTCCAAAGATAAATGCATTGGATACTATCAAAATGACTGATTATGCATGGAGAAATGTTTCTCTGAAAACTGTTCGAAATGGTTTTAAAAAGGCTGGTTTTAGGAATAATTGTGAAGAGGATGAAGAAGAGGTCGAAGGCATCAATAAAGAAAAAGAAACTGATGACAATGAAAATGCAGTGCCAGATTTGCAAGAATGGAATACAATAAAATCGAGAATTAATGATGACATTAATTTTGAGGATTTTTTACAAGTGGACAACTGTCTGGCTATGTGCGGAACATTAACAGATGCGGAAATCATTGATAATGTAAGAGGAATATCAGATGAAGAGGAAGAAGCTGAAGATCACATTGATGAATTAAAAGTGAGTGCAAAAGAGGCAGAAAAAGCTGTAGAAATCTTACAGACTTTTTTTTTAATCCCAGAAAAACATCGGCTATGAGGGATTTGCTGCTCTTTCTAACATTAGAAGAATTATTGAAGCAAAGAACGTTAGACGTCAAAAATCTTTGAAAAATTATTTTCAGTGTTAAAGGCATGTTAAAAAATGTTATCTAAATAGATGCATGTGGTATAATTAATTTACATAAATGCCTTTATTTTATTTACATAAAGCACTTTTAATGGAATTTCTTAATTAAATTTCATTTTTAAAGGTGCCCGCCGCTAATAAAATCACTGGATAATAAAATCAGCCGCTTCATAAAATCAAATCGGCAATAACCGAATCGTTACAATATTAATACATGTTAAAAACATCCTTTAATAGAATCAATGCCGCCGCTTTTTAAAATCAAAATTTTGACTACATAAGAAATCAAAAGTGCAATATTTCAGCTTTTTTTTGTTCTTATTTATAAAATTTTATTTTTTCGAAGTTTAAAGATTTTTTTAGAAGAAGCAACAGTTACTCACAAACCTGTGAAACAGGTGTGGTTAGCACTTTCCTGCGATATACATAGTGTAAGAGTTAAGGAAAAATGTGGGTGGTAAGGAGTGAATTCATAGAAATCAATTTATCAATGTCAATTCCTTGACTTGAATGAAGTTTGGAGAAACCTATCTCACTCAAGAGGGGGTCGAATTCTTATCTTACTTTTTATTGAATGAACCATAGAAGGGAGAGAAGTTTCTTTTGTTATCTATCTTAACAGAGAACATGAATAGATTTCCAAAAACTGTCTGTGCACATGTTCCATATTATTTAAGTGTTCTATC